CATATACCTGCATGTGAACTGGCCTTGTGGCCCTTGAACTTGTGCTCAGAATGTGTGGTGACGTTGTGATCCACCCTGAGCTTGGTGTGCTTTGCTTGACTGGTCTTGTGACCCCTTGTTCTCCCCCACTTTGCCTATGGGGGTGTGTCGAACTTATATGCTATAGTCTTTCTAGGCTGTAGTGGGGTAGACAGTATGGGGTACAACTTTCTAGGGTTGCATATTTGTACCCAACTCATTTCCTAGTGCATCTCATTCCTCATTTCTTCACACGCCAGTCAGCCGACATACCTCTCTGTGAGTCCTTCTCGCGATAGCCGCCATGAAGCGAAAGAAACTCCCCCAAATCGACGAGGCCATCGCTTTCCTCTACGCTCCCGTCGATGCAGAAATTTTCGTCGAACAACCGCACGGTTCCGTTACAGACCCTAATCAAGTCTGACAGCTGCTGAAGTCTCTATATGGCATCAAGCAAGCTCCACGACTGTGGCAGCAGTACCTGCACGCCCGATTAATCCGCATCGGCTTTCAACAACTACCATACGACCAGAGAATGTACAGACTCACGAAGGAAGCCGAATACATCCTGCTAATTGTGTACGTAGAAGACCTGCTCTACATATGCTCTACCGATGACATCACCACCTGGTTTGAAGGGGAGCTGCAACAGGATCTCCCACTCACTGTTTCTTCCACCGTAACCCAGTACCTGGAGCTCAACATACTCGACGGGGATTACGCGATCTACCTCAGCGCTGCAAAATACGCTGATACAATTGCCAAACGCTTTGGATTCACCAACCGTCATCTCCATGCCCTACCGCTACACCGCCAGAAATCACCAGGAAAAATCTAATCCGCTCGGACCTGCGGACTACCAGCAAAAACTGGGATGCCTGCTCTTCGCAGCCGTTACCTGGCGATCGGACATTTCGTACTCAGCAAGTCAACTTACTACCTACCTCAAGCAACTCGAAGCAGCGCACATGGCGGAACTCGACCACGCGTTACACTACCTCGTCAGCACACCAACGATCGGCCAAACCTACCACAAGACCAGAACCACAACTCCAAAACTAATCGGCTACGTGGACGCTGACCACGCAGACGATTCTGACAACAGACGATCGCGCACCGGCTACATCTATCGACTTGAGCCCGTCGGTCCTATCTCGTGGTAGTCGAGCAAGCAAGAACTAATTGCTCTCTCCTCTGCTGAAGCTGAATACATAGCACTCTGCTCAGCCACCAATGACTTTACCTTTGCGAACTACTGGAAGAAGCAAAGCTGGCCCATTTACCCATCTTCTCCCTCTTCTGCGACAACCAATCTGCAATTCGAAAAGCGAACAGGAGCGGGTTCGTGAACCAAATGAAGCACATTGCCCTGCGCTATTTCTTCATGAAGGACGAGATCGAGAAAGGGAGACTCGAGCTATCCTACTGCCCCACGTCCGAGATTTTTTTTTTTTGTCTTCACCCCCCGACAATTTCGCTTGCCGCCGTTCACCCAGCGTCCGCTTTTGTCAGATGAGGCATACGTCCGTATTGCCGGCGATTTTTCCGACACTCGGTGAAGGTGCGAACGCTATCGTAGCCGGATCGTGTTTATCATATCAAACAGTCAGGCCGGCCGCTTCATTGCCCACCTCGTCTATCGCGCTTAAAACTCCACAGCTTCGGAAATACCGTCTTCGCCGCTTCACCTCCGTCGGGTAGACCGCTGAATTAGGAAAAACTCCGACAGCTGCACCAATATCTTCAGCTTCGATTTTTTCGGCGGGGTAACTACTGCCGATGGTCCGGTTTTGTCGGGGCCGAACAGTATCGCATCGTTGAAATTTTCTTGTACGCCCAGCTGTTGAACTTGCGCAATACCCGCGCTTTTTAGCCAGCACAAGGCTAAACGCAGGGCCCCACCTTTTTATGCCAGTGGCCAATAGGACTTACACTTTGCCTTCGAAGCCTGCTGGTGTGAGGTAGTAAAACGTTCGGAAACCTCGGTCGGTAGTGGTACCCATCCGGCTACCGCCGCTTAGCCGCAAATGTTTAGGAATTAGCTTGAGCGTTTCCCCGTGGGTCGTAATTCTCGCCTCCTGAAGCTCAAAACCCGTTTCTCTCGCTGTACCCGAACTTCGACGCAACTCCGTGCATTGTAGCCAGTAGAACCCCTGAAAATCGCGGGTCTAAACACTGCGCCAAGTCGTTGCCACGCAGGTGTACTGCCATGTCTGCAGCGCAACTACCCTTGATCAGGGGGTGTTGTGCCGCCTGAAGCACAAATGTCCGCCGTTGCTGTTTCTCCGAAAATTTTGCCGATCTTGTTGCAGGTACAGCAGTGACCCTAGCGATAGGCAGTCTAGTCGTAGGCGGTTTTTCCCGAACTTTTCGGTGGTTCGAAAAACAACTTCCGTTCCACATTGTGCCGCTCCTGCCGAAAACACCAACGACGCACCCTCCTGCAGCCACACCAGCCGCACCCGGGCGGGACGACCGTAGACCCCCGCTTTCTTCGAGCAGTCGCCACGCCGTCTCCCCTCGCCGTTGCTTTTCCGACGCAAATCACCATGCGCCTGGCCTGCTCGGCCAGCTGTCGTTTCTGCCGTGAAGCCACCCGAAATCTTCGCGCACAGTGACGACGCTCACCACGTGCCGAAGACGTCCGAAATTTTTGTGCGCAACATGACGATGTCGCTCGACACCACTTGCCGCACGCATTAACTCCCGATTTTGTCGCGCACAGTTGATGACCACGTGCCGACGCCAACTCGCACAACAGTTACTCCAAAAATCTCGCGCATGCAGTGACGATAGTCTTCTTGACGCCAACTACCGCATGAAAACAGTGCCGAGATTAACGGAATTGACGAAAACAACAAACGCATTTAATGTGCGACAGCCACAGCTGTCCACCACCCGGGGGGAAGGAGGTCACGGTCCATCTCGACCGTCGAGGGTAAGGATCCGTCGGTGCCGCAAGAGCGCCTTGAAAATTCATGGCCGCTAGGAGCAACTACCCGTTCTCCTGGCCGGCTCTTGCGCTGCTCCTGTCACCACGGCATCCTTCCCTATCCCCCCCCTGAGGGGTAATACACTCTAAAAAACGGGAACCTAGGAAAGTAGCTCTGATACCAAGTGTTATAAGTTGTACTAAACTGAGTGCGCGGAAGCCTTTATAAAAAGGATGAAACTACAGGATTACTGAATGACGATTGAATGAACAAGAGAAGCATTTATAGGGCGAATACGTGCTAGGCGCGGACCTCGGAACGTGCGAGGTTTGGATGTGTCGCGATTGGTGCGGAGCGACTCGGCAGTGGTTTGGGCCGAAGTGTAGGCCGAACCTTGAAAGTGACGCGAAGTGCTCGGGGCTGTCCTCGCTAGGAGTAGCCTCCACAGTTATGAATCCGTATTCATTATAGTAGCGCTCCCCAATTTCTCGCATTACCATTACCACGCTAGCTTCGCTCTCATTCCCTGAGTCAGGGCTGTCGATTCAAGGGCATTTGCCCTTAATGCCCTGAACATTCCGGGTGAACTCCAGGCCAGCTTCGGCATTTCAAAGGGCTGGTTTCGAGGGGAGCCCGTTTTTCTTACGGGCTGATTTTGAGAAATTGGGGTATCAACCCGGATCCGTTAAGGGCTGGTTTGGGGCCCTTCCCTGAGATCCCGGATGAGTAGTACAAGTAACCCTGCGAGTTTCCTAAGTTGACACTCTTCTCCTCCCGTACCCTTATCCCTGTCGCTCCCACATTCTATCTTCTTGGTATGAAAGGAGGTTCTAGGGTTGATGTTTATGGCTGTGGTTGCAAAATATTTCTAAGACATTGTTCACTCCTCACAATTCTAAGTACTCACGCTGGAATCAAGACACTGACACCCTTACATGGCGAGGTGGGATTCAGCCCCTTCGGTTCACACTCGGAATACTACATGAGAACGAACTTCCTTGGAAGTGCTTTGCGATTGTACACAAGAGTTCAAATGACTTCTTTGCTGACGATATTTGCCCTACGAGCCCCCCCCCCCCTCCCCCACCCCTCTTCCCCCCCTGCTGTAGGTTCACAGATAAGTCGTTAGCAAGCTCCTTCCCGCTGACATCCCCCTTTGTGAAATTAGGGCACACGTACATTTTTAAAAGAAGCCCGGATTTCAAGTTTTGGTTTGGACCTGCACCCGTGATCGTTAAAGCCCGCGGCCCAAATTGCAAGCCGCGCGGTTCAAGTTTTTAAAACTTGTTCCCCTGACTTTCGGGTTACCAGGTTTCTGGGAGACAGAGGTCCGCGCGACACAACTCAGGCTGTGAGCCAATGAGAGTTGACTACCCCTATGTTGAGAACCAATGAGATTGAACACAAATGTCTTCAGTCGCAAACCAGGGCTCGGCAGAACCAACACACACCCAAAAACTTGAAAACGAGGGTGTGCAATTTGGGACTCTTGGACACAAACAAGTACCCGCTGCACTAACAAAAAAGCCCACGCACAACTCGAACGCACAGTAGGAACGGCCATGGCACGCCTGCTCTCAATCGTAATGCTATATACTGGGAACTATGGCAAGCTAGCAGCGGAAAATAGGGGCATTGATGGTGCTGGTGCTATTGCCTGTTTCTGGCACCTCCGAGCAGAGCGCACATCCAGACGATGCGACGGCGATGGTCGCGTTCGTCGTATGACCGAAGGTCGTTTAGATAGTAGTCCCAACCATGCCGGCACTCCGTCGACTTGCCATGTCGACGAAGCTGCTCGCAGGGTTGGTACATCGCGCTGCGTCACTTCGCGCAGCGTTTCGACGCCTTGCGCCTCGACGCGCTGCGTCTCATGGCGTAGACAGAGATCGCGTGGGGTTTCATCGCGCATCCTCGTCGCTCTCTACGCCTCGGACCGGAAAAAAGCCCTGTCGTCATTCGAATCGCGTGAGCGACCTCATGGAAATCCGCGCAGCCCTTTGGTTTACGGTCCGTATTTGAAATGATCACTGCGCAAACAAGTACCCAATGCAAAGTATGCGATGTTCCCTGAACATCCCCCTCCCATCGCCTCCACTTCCCCCTCCCGTCGCCTCATCTTCCCCATCCCGTCGCCTCATCTTCCCCCTCACGTCACCTCAACTTCCCCCTCCCGTCGCCTCCACTTCCCCCTCCCGTCGCCTCCACTTCCCCCTCCCGTCGCCTCCACTCCCCCCTCCCGTCGCCTCCACTTCCCCCTCCCGTCGCCTCCACTTCCCGTGTGAGGGGTGTAGCAAACTTTCTCTCCTTCCATCCCCCCTTTCCATCCTCCCCCCCCCACTCTCCCCCTCTCGCCCCTCCTCCCCACCCAGGCGAGTGGCGATCTGGCGGCACTTGCGCGTGTTTTACGCACATGTGGCAATGAGTGCGCAGCTCATATCGGCGCCCTCAGGCCAGGCCAGGCCCCAGCGTAAAAAACTAAAAACTGACAGACGCCAACCTCTCTCCCCTCCCCCTCCTTAATCCCCTCCTCCTCTGCCTCTCCCCTACTCCCCATAACCTCCTGCTCGCCTCCCTCGCCGTGAGGTCTAAGGAACCTCGTATTCCCACATCGGCTCGTGTCTCCCCCACATCTCCCCCCTCTCTCCTCCTCCTCCTCCCCCCACCCACTGCCGGCCCGCCTGCCAACCTCATCCACATTTCTTTCCCCCATCCGCTATCATCAACGCCCTATTAGGACAAGCCGTAGAGGGAGGGCCTCCTCACGCGCCCTCGAAACCCATCTCTCCCCATCTCCCCCCACCTCAAGCCCCCCCTTTCCCACACTTTCCCCGTCCCCACCCTCCCTACTCTCCCCACCTCTGTCCCCCTTCCTACCCCAGGCGAGGCCCCCTCTCCCTCTACCCCACACTCTTGCTTCCTCACCCGGGCTCCCCCTCACTCTTTGCACGCTGCTCTCTTCTTCCCACCCAATTTCTTCCAATCGTTCTCTCAGAAAATCATTTCCGTTTTTCCTGCCCCTCCTCTCTATTCCTCCCCCTCCCCTCTCAGGCAATTAATGCAATCACAGACAAGCACGTGCCACATGTCCCAAAGCCCTTCCATCCGGCCCTTTCTTCCTCTCCTCTCCTCTCCCTTTCGGCCACCCCCCTCCCTTCTCTGCCTGCCATCAGGTCATTGCAAGCACCGACAAGAACAAGCCACCAAGTCCCTGTTCCAAGGCCCCTCGCTTCTCCTGACCCTGCTGCCGAGCCTGTTCCCAGACCTGCCTCCGAACCTGAAGCTCATGGCAAGAGGGAGGGAATGACAGCGGGTGGTATGGAAGCAGGGAGGGAGGGGAGGAGGGAAGGATGACACAAGGGAGTGAGAGTGAGGGAGGTGAGGGGTAAGGGGAAGGGTGGGAGAAGGAGGAAGAGTTGGAGGAGGAGGACAAGGAGTGGGATGATGAAGTGGAGTTCTAGGAGGCACAGGTGAGAGCTGCACCACACTGCTGCTGGGCTGGGACACATACCCACCCTCTTTTGTGAAGCTTCCTGACTATCTAACAGGGGGACTACTTACCCTGGCCACCCTGTTGTGCCTGTGTTGTTCCTCAGATGGTCTTACCCCTACTTCCCCCCTTCTTACCCCCTCGTCCTCTCCTCTCTCCTGCATTGGTGCATGTGTCCTGTTTTGTCTGTGGATGCTGTGGGCAGCAGAGGAGGAACTATACGGGGAGAAGATACTTTCAGTTGACAGCCTGACCTCAGGTGGTCTCCACCTGTCAGGTGAAATGACAGTGTGAGATTCTATGGTGCCACCCATACACCAACCCCCGCTCCCCTCTCCTCACCGTTTGCCCTTCGGCTGTGTCCCGCTGCTCAACCCCATTTGCTCAGACTTCTATTCTATGCTCTCATCTCACCTTTCCATTCTCCCCTCCCTCCGTTCTTTAACTCTATCCCCTTCCACCTCCTCCCCCTTCTCTGTTTGTTGTGCGCTGACTTCTTCTGCCACACCTGGTTCCATGAGGTGCGGTTGGTGGGAGGCATAGAGATCTTGGGATGCGTCTCAAGAGTTGGCTTGAGTCTGCACCGGGTGTGTTCTGTGTGTTGTGCGCCAAGTTATTTCGTCACTGCTGCTTTCATGAGGTCAAGTTAGAGGATGAGAGTGGTTCTATTGAAAGGGGGGCGGTGAGAAACCCAACGAAGCGCTTGCACCTACAAGCTAAGGTTTATGTGAATGCGTGCATCACGACTTTCACGGGCTCGCCCATGCATGTCTCTCATGCCCCCATGCCCATGCCTCATTCTCCATGCGATGGCGAAGGTGGGTGCATTGAAGATGGTCAAGTGGCGTCGCTATTTACTGAGCGAAAGTGAGGTTTCCCACGTAGTGCCATATGACGTTATCCGCGCTGGCATTCAGTGTTTGATATTCCGCCGCATTCCGATGCTTTCAGAATGCGCCGACGTTCGTGCCGTGTCTACGGCTTTTTTCGTACCTTCGGGAAGCATCCTTTCCAGGGCGACGGGCCATATTCCCTATCTCGCCGTCTCGAATGAAGTGGTTCTGTTTGTTGATGACGGTCGTGTGACGTTTTTTATCTCAACTGCAACCTTTATGGCTGTCGTAATGCTAAGGATTTGGCAGTTTTATCATCCGCGACGCAAGTGTGCTTGCTCGTGCCGCCTACTGTAGTTGGCTGCTGTATGCAGTATCAAGTACTAGCGGGCCTCATCATGGTTGGTTGTCGAAAGCCTAGGTCATGGTGTTGTGTGTGTGGCAGCGCAAGAGCTGCGGAAGTGTTGTGTTGTGTGTTTTTTGGTCGCGGTGTGTGGTGCGCCGTGCGACAATTTCTATTGGCTGGTTTTCTATTGTTTGACTCGGCTGTTCGCTAAACAATTCTCGATTTCGCTTACTGGGTGTGCCTTCTTTCGGCTCCCAACTTTCACTTTCACACCCCTCGCCACCCGTTGTTCCCCTGGGCCAAGTTTTAAAAACTTGTGCAATTTGGGCCAACGGCTTTAAGGGCTAAAAAACTGTCACCTTCGCGAAAATCAGGGCCAAACTTCGAGGAGCTGAGGACTCGAAGTGTTGGCCCCAGGAACTTCGACAGGCCTGTCCCTGACTCGATGTACTGTTTTGCTTCGATAGTGCAATACTCGCTCGCTCACTCAGTTGCACTCGGAACACTAACTCAACGTCGAAATAGTGCAGCTGCTGGTGGTATATAGCCGTGTCAGGTTGTCTCGATGTGAAAGATTCTAGTCGAGCTTGACATAGAAAAAGACTTCAGAACCTTCAGCCCTCTGGCGGCTAAACTTTCTGTCCGTTAGGTAGTCTCCGTAGCCCAACCGCGAAAATACTGACCGCCGGTCTCGCACTAGACGATGCGACGCTTCGAAAAAAGCGTCGCATTGTCTAAAAACCAAGTATCCGCGTCACTTGAACCAGAAACCCGAAGACACACAGACTCAGCCGCGGATGCTCCTGCTGCGGAATTTCCAGCCGCGAAAACTTCCGCTGCGGAAATGCCAGCCGCGAATACTCCTGCGCGGAAACCGGCGGAAAAGGCAGCAGCAGCAGCAGCGGAGACTCTTTCTGAAACCATAGCAGTAGCAGCGGAGGCTGCGCTAGCCGTGGAGATGGGCGAACCCCCGCACACGGAGGAAAGCGGCGGTGGCCCCCCGCAACTAGAGGAAGCGTCGACTCCGCCACCCGCGGCAGCATTGGCGAAAGCATTGGCAAAAGCATCGTCGGAAGCATCCGCGACTGAGCTACCGCTGGAGACGGGCAGAAGTCAAGGTCAATATAGTACCAGTGACCTTGGCGATTAAGATCAAGCTGGTAACCCTGGCGATCAAGATGAGGATAGTAACCCTGGAGGCGATCAAGGTCTAGGTCTATCTCAGCCTGTTACTACCCCTGCCCCTAGTAGTAGCAGCGTCGCGATTCTCGCTCCGAAAGGGCCAATCACAGACGCCCGCAATGGGCAAGACGCGGCGAACACGTCAGCGCGGCGCCGCGAATTGGTAGACGTCACCGGGCAGCTGCTGTTCCTCGTGAGCCGCGGCATAATCGAGGGGTTGTCGACCTATTGAATCGCGGGGTGTGCCGACTATAAAATCGCTGCATCTGGCGGCGAGCGAGGGAAAGGTGGATGTGGTGCGGGCGCTGCTGGAGCGAGGCGCGCGTGTGAATCCTAAGGACCGCCATGGCAACTCGGTGAGAGGGGTGCAGAACGGTGAGAGCAGATGCAGCATGGTTGAGACCCCCCGCATGACAGCCGCAGGGCAGCAGGACGAGAGAGGCGCATGGCATGGCGGTGAGAGGCGCATGGGGGTGAGAGGCGCATGGGGTTAGAGGCTAATGGCGGCATTGCTTCTGACAGTGTGGGATGGCATGGAATGACATGTCATGGCATGGGTTGGCATGGCAGGCATGGCATGGCACAGCATGGCATGGCATGGCATTGCATGGCATGGGATGGCATGGCATGGGATGAAATGACATGGCATGGCATAGCATCGTATGGCATGGGTTGGCATGGCATGGCATGGCTTGGCGTGGCATGGCTTGGCATAGCATGGCATGGCATGGGTTGGCGCGGCACGGGCATGGGTTGACATGACACGGGATGGCATGGTTGGCATGGCATGGCATGGCACAGCATGGCATGGCATGGCATGGCATGGCATGAGATGGCGGCGATTGCCCTCCCCCCTCTCCGCCCTTCCCCCCCCTGGTAGCCCCTGGCGGATGCGCAGTCGTACGGATCCGGGGAGATCTGCCGCCTGCTCCAGGAAAATGGGGGCATGCTCTGTCGGGTGATCTCCCCCCCCCCTTCTCCACCCCCTCTCTCTCTTCCCCACTCCCCCTTTCTCCCCCTCCCGCGTCTCCCTTGTCAATCCTGCATTTCTCATAAACATCCCATTGCTTCCTGTTTCGTTTCTCGTTACCCTACATTGTAAATTCTTGAAGTTAATTGTGGGAATCCCAATCGAAGCGAGTCCAACATGCATCCGCTTTTTCTGGCAGCCAGCCCAGCATCGTATTCCCCCATTTCTCCCCCTTTTTCCTTTTCCTCTTCCCTCCCCCCTATCCCTCCCCCCTTTTCCTTTTCCTCTTCCCTCCCCATTCCCGCCCTCTCTCCCCATTCCCTCCCTCTCTCCCCATTCCCTTCCTCTCTTCCCATTCCCTTCCTCTCTCCCCATTCCCTCCCTCACCCCCCCATCCCTCCCTCTGCTTCCCATTCCTCCCCCCCCTCCCTCCCTCCGCTCGCCTCGCCCCCACCACTGTCAGAGTGCGCTCATTTCAGCCCCCCCTCCCTCCCGTCGCTCGCCCCCACCACTGCTGGAGTGCGCAATGCAGCAGCGAGCTCGTTCAGCCGGCACGACTTGTGAGTCGAGTCACAAGTCAGCTTGTTCAGTTCAGCCGGCACGACTACGAGAGCGACAGCAGGGAGAGCGACCTGGGCACGTCCAAGGTCATTGGCGAGGTGTGCTGGAGGGGCGAGGGGGGAGGGTGGAGGGGGAGGGGGAGGAAAGGGGGAGGGTTGAACAGGGGGAGGGGGGCGGAGGAGGGTTAGTAGAGGGACGAGGTGAGCAGTGAGGTGAGGGGGAAACGGGGGGAGGAAGGGGAGGGAGAGGTGAGGTTAGGAGGGAAGGGAAGCAGGGGACGGAAGAGGGAAGGGAGGGTGGGGAGCAGGGGGTGGAAGGGGGAAGGGAGGTGTTGGGCTGAAAAAGCCCTTAGGATCTTTACAGGGATGAACTCTGGGTAGGATTGTAATAGCGGAAGCGTTTAATGAAGTATTGTGAACCACCTTGCGCTAGTGTGTGAGGGCAAAGTAGATTGATTAAAACAAAGGGATACAGGATTATATATGAGTACAAGGGATACGAACCGATACAATTGTAACTGTTTTATTTGTTGCTGTTGCGGTTCGATACAGTGCGACTCGGGCAACTGCTCAATATCGAGTCAGTTGTGTGTCCTTGCTGTCGCGCTGCATTTGTCAGGTCAAAGGTCGCTGACCTTTGACTTTCGCGTAACCTCTGACGGTTGTTTCAACCTCCGAGGGTTGACTCGCCGATGCATCGATATGCTTTGCTTCGCTTCTGACTTGGTGTTTCGACACGACAGAGGCGTTTAGAATTAATTGTTTCCAACACTCCCCTTCGCTTCTGGAGTGTCGCTGCTGGTGACGTGGCTCTGTCCAGTCAGCATCATGCAGTACTCGAACTTCTGTTTTCCGAGCTTCTTGGTCAAGTAATCGGCTGCCATTTCGGATGTGGGGCAGTAGGATAATTCGAGACTCCCCTTCTCGATCTCGTCTTTCACGAAGAAATATCGCAGGGCGATATGCTTCGTTCTGTTCGCGAATCCGTTTTTGTTGGCGATGCAAATTGCAGATTGGTTGTCGCAGAACAGAGTGAAGCTGGGTAACTGAGCCAGCTTCGCTTCCTCCAGGAGTTCGCGAAGGTACAATCCTTCCTTGGTGGCTGAGGAGAGTGCGATATATTCTGCTTCAGCTGACGAGAGGGCGATTAATTCCTGTTTGCTCGACTGCCAAGAGATAGGTCCGATAGGTTCGAGGCGGTAGATGTAGCCAGTGCGAGAACGCCTATTGTCGGAGTCGCCAGCGTGATCGGCGTCGACGTAGCCGATTAACTTAGGAGGCGTGGTTGCGTTCTTGTAGTAAGTTAGACCGATCGTCGGGGTGCTGACTAGGTAGTGAAGAGCGCGGTCGAGCTCAGCTAGATGTTCCGCTTCAGGCTTCTTGAGGTAGGTGGCAAGTGTGAATTAAGAAAAACAGGAATGAGAATGACTAAGTGAAAGTTGGGTACAAGAAGCAAACCCTAGAAAACTGTACCCCATATGTGCTACCCCACTCTAGCCTACAGTAGCTATGTCATATAAATCTGACACACCCCCATAGGCAAAGTGGGGGAGAACAAGGGGTCACAAGACCAGTCAAGCAAAGCAAAGCAAAAAACAAGCTCAGGGTGGATCACAAAGTCACCACACATTCCGAGCACAAGTTCAAGGCCACAAGGCCAGTTCACAAGCAGGAGTACACATATATATAAAAAAGGCTAGACAAACAAGAGCAGGTATATATATATGTAACAGTACAAGCAAGGTCAAGAGGTGAGCAAGTGAGGCAAGGTAGGCACAAGGCCCAGCTGAGTACAGAAGCGCTGATGGTCACAAGGCGCAAGTGCCTTGGTGAAGATATCAGCAGTGTTGGCCTCAGAGGCCACGTACGCAAGACGCAGCTGACCACGCTGCTGCAGCTCACGAGCAAGAAAGTAGCGGAGAGCAATGTGCTTCGTTCTGTGCTCCAGTCGCTGCTCCCGACACAAGGCCAGCATGGCCTTGTTGTCTACGTACAGCACTGGAGGAGAACGAGGCAACTCTCCGAGGTCAGTCAGCAGGTAGGTGAGCCAGCGAAGCTCCTGTGCAGCCATGGCTCCTGCGTAGATCTCAGCCTCACAACTGGAGCCGAGAACAGAAGACGAGCGAGTAGCCCGCCACGAAACAGAGCCGGAACCAAGGCTGAAGGTGTAACCCTGTGACGACCGCTGCGTAGCCTGGTCGTCAGCCCAAGAAGCGTCTGCGTGCCCAGTAAGGACCACTGGACTCTGCCCTCCAAGCACAAGCCCCATGTCCGACGTACTGCACAAGTAGCGCAACACCCTCTTCGCTGCAGCCATGTGCTCCGGTCTGTGTCTCCCAGGAGCAACATAGCGTGCAAGAATGCTAAGAGGGTATGCAAGGTCAGGTCGTGTGCAGGTCATCAGGTACATGAGGCAGCCAACAAGCTCTGGGTACGGGCCACTCGACTCTACGGACTCATCCGAAGGCAGAGCTGAGAGCGAGTGGCGAGTAGGCAGAGGAGTGGCCTGAGGCGAGGAGTGCGTGAAGCCGAAGCGCTGAAGGACCTGCTGCACCATGTGTGACTGAGTCAGGGTAATGGTGCGGCGTGCTCTGTCCCGAGTGATCTGCAAGCCAAGGTAGCTGCGCAGTTCACCCAGGTCAGTGCACGTGTGTCTCTTCTGCAGCTCGGACTTCACGTGGGCTAGTCCAGCAGTGTCAGCTGTGGCAAAGACCAAGTCGTCGACGTACACGAGGATGTAGAACGGCGGCAAAGAAGTGTCGGTGCGCAGAAACAACGACGGGTCGGCAGTAGAGGGAGCAAACCCAAGAGCCGCAAGTGTAGTCCTCAGTGTGTCGTGCCACTCACGCGGTGCCTGGCGGAGACCGTAGACTGGCCGCCGTAGGCTCCACTGGGTGCCAGGAGGAAAAGACCCAGTGAAGCCAGGTGGGCGACGCAGCCAGATCTCCTCGTGCAGGCTGCCCTGCAAGGAAGCAGTGCTGAAGTCAAGAGAGTGTAGCTCGTAGTCACGGTGAGCAGCTACGTGCAGCAGTACCCGAAGAGTGGTCATCTTCGGGGTGGGAGAGAAGGTCTGAAAGTAGTCAACTCCCTGCCGCTGACTGAAGCCACGAGCCACGTAACGCGCCTTGAAGACAGGCGGAGAACCCGGCGGTCGCTTCACCCTGAAAATCCACATGCCACTGACGATGTTCGCCCCAGGAGGGGGAACAGCGTCAACGTAGGTGCCTGTGGACTTCCAGGAAGCCATCTCTGCGTCCATAGCTGCCTGCCACTGAGAGGAGTAGGGACCCTCTATCGCCTCCGCGTAGGAGCGCGGAGTCGGGATGTCAAGTGCATCCGGGTCTCCCTCAGGGGTAAGCAGTACGGACACGAGATGAGGTGAAGCAGCGGCCAAGCACTGGAACTCCTCCTGCCTGTCCTCAAGGACGTCCGTGCCAAGGGCACACTCACCCCCGACGGACGGAGGACAGACAGACTCAGACTCAGCAACAAGACTGGCGACGTAGTCTAGGCGACAGCGAGCAGCAAAGTCGACGAGCTCAGCAACTAGAGCAGACGCAGCAGTGGACTCAAAGGAAGGGTCAGTGACAACCGTAGCAAGGAGACGCGTGACAGTAGGACTGGCAGCGCGAAGAGAGTCCGACTCCGGGTCGGCAAGAGTAGGAAGAGAAGACTCAGGAGGAGAAGGCAAAGGGGCACGCAGAGGAGCAGTGGACGGACGCAGAGACATCCGGTGCGTGCCAGGGACAGGAGGAGGACGCTGACGCGAACCGCGACCACTAGTGCGAGCAGCACGGACAGGCGACGCAGGGCGAGACGCAGGCTCACGACGCTCAGCAAGACCTCCAGTAGGACCAGTGTAGGGAGACGGAGCAGGCAGTGGGGAGGTCGGCTGTAACTGTAACTGCGACGGGACAGGCTGTGGACACTCTAAGGGAGGAGGAGGACCAGTAGAAGGCGGGAGACCAAGAACCTGCTGAAGGAGCGGAACGAAGTACGGCCGAGGCCGCGCGGCGACTCCAGACACAGGAGGGACAGCACCAGCACCCGCAGGGGCAGCACCAGCACCAGTAGCAGCTCCAGCTCCAGAACCCCCAGCAGCACCAGTAGTACCCCCAGCAGGACTGCCTCCAGGACCGACAGCAGTAGCCTCCGCGCCAACACCCGCAGCAACTCCAGCTCCAGAAGTACCCGCAGGTCCAGCAGCTCCAGAACTCCCAGTACGAGCACCTCCGGGACCCGTGGCACCAGCTCCCTCAGAAGCAACAGAACCTCCAGTACCCGCAGCACCTCCAGCTCCAGCAGCTCCAGCAGCTCGCCTCCAGCGCCGGGCAAACCACTCACGCAGCTCCTGGGGAGAGAGTGGCTCTCGGCGAGAGGGAGCACCCGGTGAACCGCCAGGCACAGCACCACCAGGCGTAGCACCCCCAGGCTCAGCACCTCCAGGCGTAGTACCCCCAGGCTCAGCACCCCCAGACGCAGCACCCCCAGGCTCAGCACCTCCAGGCGTAGTACCCCCAGGCTCAGCACCCCCAGTCGTAGTACCCCCAGACTCAGCACCCCCAGGCTCAGCACCCCCAGGCTCAGCACCCCCAGGCGTAGCACCCACACGCTCAGCACCCCTAGAGTCAGCACCCCCAGGCTCAGCACCCTCAGCAGCACCAGAGTCACCAGCGACCTCGACAGGCTCAACAGCGTCTACCTGGGACACACCTGAAGGGGCAGGACCCTGAGGGGGGAGGGGGTCTACCGGGGGGGGACCTGGTACAAGGAAGAGCGGTGGCGGGGGGAGGGACGGAGTGCGGTAGGGGAAGAGGCGGTAGTAGGGGACCGACTCGTCGAACGTGACGTCCTGGGAGGACAGAACACGGCGAGAGGTGGGGTGGTAGAACTGCCACCCTGGGGCGTCAGGGGGGAAACCCAGGAAGACGCAAGGAGCAGCACGAGGGGACAGCTTGTCCGCAGACAAGTCGCGGACAAACGCCCGAGATCCCCAGACACGGA